CTCATAATTATGAAGACTCATAATCTCATTACAAGTAAGGATTAGGAAATGTTAGTATAAATTAGACATTCTTAATCTGAAAATACCAAATCCAAAACACTGTAAGGGAGGTAGGCATAGTTCAGTACTCCCATCTGGGCTTGGGTCATGCACCTGTAACAATGCATTTGGCAGCCTGGTTCTTTTACCTGTGTGCACTATGCTCCCTCTTCAAACAATGGACCTAGTAACCAGAACTCTCTGACCCACCCAGTGCATGGGCTACAGTCTCCCATCTCTGAGCAATGGTGTAAAGTTTCCCTAACCCTGGTAACAATCAACTTTAGAGTTTCTATTCAAGTAACAGGGTATATAAAAGGGACAATCTGGCCTGAGTTGGTTTGGGGTATGTGAGCAGTAAAACTGTGCCCTCTAGTAACCTTTTAAGGAGAATACCATTTACCATCTTGCATCTATGCAAAATCGGGTGTGCCTATGATTAGAACCAGGTACACTGGGGCTGGAGAGATGGCTCAGCAGTTAAGAACATTGGTTGTTCTTGTAGAAGACCCGGGTTCGAATCCCAGCACCCACATGGCAGCTAACAACTGTCCGTAACCCCAGTCCCAGGGGATCTGACAGCCTCTTCTGACCTCCGAGGGCACTGCACGACACGGGTGCACTTACCTACATGCAGGCAACACATGAGTACACATGAAATGAAAATAAGAAATAAAATAAAAAAAATTTTTTTAATTAGGTACATTATGAAAAGGGACATGGACCGTAGAGAATTGATTATATAATCTAATCTATCAATCAAAATACAGAACTAACCAAACTACCTTTAGGAACAAGCTCCTCCTTCCCTTAGACCCTAGGCTACCCTGGGGCTCTGAGTAGCTTCACTCCTTTGATCCCAATCTTGGTGTATCCTTCTTTAATCAGTACTATCAAATAAAATTATCTTGCAAATCTATGTGAGCTCTTATTGCCAATTCTTTGAGTAAGAGACTAATAATCTGAAAACATTTCTTTCAACTCCATACCACGAGTCAAAATCAACACACAGGCACTCTAAAAACTTTATATTAAAAAGTACCTTCAAGCTGTGGTTACTTGCACAAGACCAGTACAAGATTCCACCAACTTTAACAAGAGCCCATCAACATTAATCAACAACATCATGGGTGGGGAAGGGACTATGTAGCTCTACCCTTCCCTAGGTAGGAGGTAAGGCTGGAGAAAGGAAGGCATTTCTTCAGTAGTACGGTCACTGCTAAACTGCCCATGCTTTCCCATGCTCATGCAAGCAACCCTAAGTAGATTCAGTGGGTCTTTGCCAGTGGTGACGACCTCCCTCTAAGAACATGACTCTTGCAAAGGATCTCCATCCCTCTCCAGAAGAGAAGAGGAAACACAAGACAGTTCATGGATGTGAAGTGCCCAGGATGCTAGAAAACCACCATGGTCTTCAGCCATGCACAGTCTTATGTGTTGGCTGCTCCACTGTCCTGTCAGCCTACAGGCTTTTGAAAAAGCAAGGCTTACAGAAGGATGTTCCTTCCACTAAAAGTACTCTGAATCAAGACCATCCCAATAAACACATTTTGATGAAAACAAAACAAAACAGGCTCTGTCACCAAAAAAAAGTCATGAATGTGGAAGAGGGCCTTTTGGGAAGAAGGGGCTCAGTAGGAGCCAGAGGTGGTGAGTGAGGGTGAAATGACTAGTTAATTATATACATGTATGAAACTGTCAAAGGATAAAAATTGAAGAAGGGCTGGGTGTGGTGGCACGTATCTTTAATCCCAGCACTCAGGAAGCAGAGATAAGCTCTGTTAAGATGGAGGCCAGCATGGTCTACATAGTGAATTCTAAGCCAGCTGGGGCAACAGGGAGACCCTGTCTCAAAAAGGGGGGAAAAGGTATCAGGCTGGAGAGATGACTCAGTGGTTAAGAGTACTGATTGCTCTTGCAGAGGACCAGGTTTGATTCTCACCACCCACATGACGGCTAATAACTGTCCACAACTCCAGTTCCTGGGGATCTGATACCTTCTTCTGACATACGTGGGTATTACACGACATGGGTGCACTTACATGCAGGCAACACACTCAAACACATAAAATAAAAATAATAAAGTTTAAAAAAGGAAGTATCTTTAGACTATGTAACCTGTTATGTTTAATATAAACAATTATATATGATGAAACACATGAATTTTGTGTTCAGACCTGGCTCCTGTCACAATATCTCATTAAATCATAAAACCTGAAAAAAAAAATCTGAGCTGCAAAACACTTCTGGTCCCTATTACTTCAGATAAGGGAAGTGAAACTTAAAGCTCTTAAGCCAGATATAATAGATACTTTTTCAAAGAGGCCAACTGGTTGCATAGGTGTTTTAGACTTTAATTTCTTGGGTTTTCATCTAATCAAAGACTAAAATCTGAGTGTAGACTCTAGGACCCAAGGGGAAGATGAGCAGAGGTGGCTGAAAGGACCAAGCATTACAAAGGGAGGCTGTCAGCTACTGCAAAGCCTCTGTGATTCAGTAATCAATCAGGCTGCATGTGCACGGCACACAGGCTGTGCTGTTTACTGAAGTACTTCTTGACACGGATTATATTTAGTTAGTTAGGGACAGGGCTGGCCTGGAATTACTAACTAGTCAAAGATGACCTTGAACTCCTGATCCTCCTGCCACTGCTTCCCAAGTGCTGGGACTACAGGCCTTCAGTGGCCTCCTGCAGGCTGGAGCAGTAACTTGGTGGCAGTTAATAAGGATACTTGTTTTACAGTAATTTGTTACACTGCAATCTATCAAAAATCTAAATACAGTAAACAGAGAATTTGGAGATATATTTTATTTCTTTAGAAATATTAAAAGGGGGTAGGAGGTGCGGCTCAGAAATTAAGAGCTCAGTGGTAGAACACCTGCCTTACATGTGAGAGGCCCTAGTCTCAATCCCTAGCACTGAAAAACCAATATGAACAAGTTTATACACATATGAAACACAACTTTTTTTTTTTTTGGTCTGAGACAGGGATGTGTTAATACTTTGTTTCTAAGGGCTCAAATTATTTTGAGCTGATAAAATGAAATTAAAGTGGATAGATCAGTTAGAGCAAAATCGTGGATTAAATATAATAGGGGCCAGAGAGACGGCTTAGCAGTTAAGAGCACTGGCTACTCTTGCGGTTGGGTTGGGTTTCCAGGATCCACTGGGCATCTAACAACGATCCGTAACTCTAGTTCCAGGAGATCTGATGCCCTCTTCTGGACTCTGAGGGCACTGCACGACACAGGTGCACTTAAAACACACTGGGGGAAAAAGAATCAGACCTTCCACAAGGTTTTTCCTTTAATGCTATTTAGTTTGTTTTATTCCTCAAAAGTTTCTGACTTTCATTCTATGTAAAAATATAAGGAAATTAATGATGCAAATTGAATCAAACTTCTAGAGTTAGTAGTTTTGGGGGGTGGGCAGAGGAAGTATTCATAAAATGCATGCCTATTTTTCAACTATTAAATTTTACATTACTTCACCAATTTACCTTTTCTTCACTTCCTGTTAGTACAATTAGAGACACGTGGATAATACACATACTCTGAAATATTATGTATTTAAAATTTTCTGCTCTAGGATTACCTGCTTTTCTTCCAGCAGCAACTGGCTCTTGAGAGAAAAAATAACGGGATTCAGATTCTTCAACAAGAACAATTTTAGTATCAAAGCTAGTATTATCTACTTTCTGACATCTCTTTGAAACTGAAGATCTAACATGAAATACAGACTAAATGATGCAAAATAAACGGTTATTAGAACCAACACTACCTAGACTAGAAAATTCACAAAGTATTTCTGTTGTCCAAAGTTTCAAAACAGCTTCAACAAGCGGGGCTTGTGAGCTGTGGCTTAGGGGAACAATTATTCTGAGTGATTATTATCAAGATGGAAGATGACGATTTTTTTTTGTGTGTGTATAAACAGATATAACTAATTTTACTCATTATTTTCAGATCAATATATTCGAAAGAGTAAAAAGACTTGTTCGGATTTGACAAGAAAAGTGGAAGGAGAGAAAAAAATACTGCAACAGATAACTAGGAAATGTGGAATGAAAGCGAGACCTCAAATTTCAGCTGAACGGACTTTGGGAGAGAGGTGTTTTGAGTTGGGACAGCTCACTGAACCAACCGCAGGTATCACAATGCGATTTATCTGCTTACAGTTGTGCTTGTGGGTACCATAAGATCCAGAAATGATTCATTTATGCAAAACAGCTATAACCCCAGAAACCAGATGCTCTATCATTTCAAGCACTTAGCCTTTAAGCCTTATACCGCTCTGAGAATATCGGCGAACTCACTGTTCGCAAACGGGGTCTAGGTTTCCAAGATTAAAACCTGGAAGGCCACAAGTACGCCCTCCCCTCTCGCACCGGGGAGCGACCCCAGGGCCTCACCCGCGTTAGGCAAATTACTGGCTCTTCCGCTGAGCCACACCTGCAGCCCACACGATCTCACTCCAGATGACCGAGGATTTCCTGGAATCTGATTAAGTTCCCTCCTCAACATAAAACCCAGTACCCTCTCGGCAGGTGATTACATCTTTGGCTTAGTGGGTGGGGCCAGGAGTCGGAGAACCTTCCTAGAAATCACTAAACCCTGACGTGAGGGTTGGTATCAAAGCAGCCCAAAAGGACCCCAAAGGACACCAGGCGTCATCCTTAAAGCCTCCCCGCTCCCCGTCAGTTCGGGTGAAGTCTACTCCAGTCCAGGACAGGCGCTCGGAGCGCTGGACTGCACTCTGCGCTCACTTCGCACAAATCGTATCCCCCCGCCAACCCCCGAACCGCCAGGTCCACCCTGCGGGGCAGCCGAGACCAGCCCGAGCCGGCACGAAGTCGGGAACCCGACCAGTCCAGTCCGTCCTCTGCCCCGCGCCCACTTGCAAGCTGCACCCGTCACATCCCACTGGGCTCAGGGAGCGCTGCCGCCCCCCGGCTACTCACCGGGACGCTGTTGACGCCTTGTCCTTTGGAAGCGATCAGCAGGATTTCCCTGAAGTCCATGGTGGCTGGGCCGGGGGCTCGGGACGCAGCGGAAGCGAATGTGGCCGCGCGCCCGGCTCCGAAGCGGCCTCCCCGGCCGCCGAGCTCCCGCCGCCCCCTCAGCCGCCCCCCTGCGCGGCACTTCCGGGGCCTCCCGATGCAGCGCGCGGCCCCTGCGCGTCAGTCTCCTATATATGCTCGGCGCCACGGCCGCGCAGGCTCGCCTTGCGCAACTTCCGCTTTCGGGAGTGAGACGCGTCAAACGTGCTACGTGGCTGTTGGCGTCGGCTTAAGGGGCGGGGCTAAGACAGCCAACCAATCAGCTGCGGCCCGGCAGGCTGGAGGCGTGGCCGAGGAGGAGCGCTCCTCCCTCGACGACGCTAGGCCGGTGACCGCGGTAGTTCGTGTGAGAGTCGGTGGGGAAGGGCTGGGTGTGTCGGGGTGTCGGGGTCCTGCTTGGGTGCCCACGTCCTAAACGGCCTGGTGGCTCGAGACTGCGGTTGCAGGTTTCTAGGCGCCAGAGAAGCTGCGCAGGCGCTCATGGCACCGTGTGGTCTGGTTTACTCAGTATTCGTCCCTTCTTAGTCGAGGTGCTCACGGAGTGTACACAGAGCCAGGCCCCTGTTGCCTTTGCTGTTCACAAGTGCTTATGCCCAGGGCATGAGTGAAGACATCAGTCACCTACCCAGCCGGCCTGGACTAATGCGCTAGTGAACACACACGCATGGCTGTCATTTCGAAAAGGAAAACAAATTATTAAGGAAAAAAAAAAACCCTAAAATTAAAAAAAAACAAAAAACAAAACAGCCCAGCCGCAGGGCGTGGTGGCACTCGGGAGACGGAGACAGGTGTATCTCTGTGAGATTGAGGCTAGCCTCGTCTGCATAGCGAGTGCCAGGCTCGCTAGGGGTTGCAGGGAGACGCTGTTTGAAAAAGACCAAAAGGGTTGGAGAGATGGCTCAGCCGTTAAGAACACTGACTGCTCTTGCAGAGGACACGAGTTCGAGTCTCAGCACCCACATGGTGGCTACGAACCGTCCTTAAACTCCAGTTCCAGGTGAATCCGAAGCCCTTTTCTGACCTCCACGGCATTGTACGACACGGGTGCACTCACATACATCCAGGCAATACACTCATACACATTAGAAAAAAAATCCAAATAACTGGTTAAATAACCCAGAATAGCTAGCTAGAGAAAACTGCCCCTGCTTATCAGGCCCTGTTCGCTTAGGAAAACAAACCCTAGTCACATAGGAAATCAGCCCCCCTGCTGGCTTAAGAAAACAGATGTGTGATCTTTGCATTTGCTTTTGTAAACACACTTCCCCCGCTTGGAAGTCCAACCTATGGGTCATAAAAGAATGGAGGGTCATAGGTTGGAACCTGTACATGGGTCACTGTCACGTAGGCTGGAAGCCCCCGGAACCGATGCCCACCAGTGCTAGTGTCGGTCTGAAATGATGTTAAATTGTCTATATATACTGTAAAGGGGCTGTTGTCTATTGATCAGGCTTTGGAGATGACTCTCCTGGGCCTCCTGCCCACAGGATCGGGAATAAAGTGTCGTGACTTCTCATTTTGTCCCTGGGCGTCTGACTTGAAAGCTGAACTTCCCTTACAGTACTACCCATTTTGGGAACACTACATTTTGGAGTTACCTTGGGTTTGCAAGGTCATTTTCGTTTAATAAAGCACAGGTAAATAATTAGGTGTCTGGGTGGGAATGGACCATGGATCATTTTGGTGTGATGGAAATGCCCCAAACTGGGTTGTGGGGGTGGTTCCACTATTTACCAAATATTGTTATTCATTTGAAAGTGGAGAGTATGTCCACCAGGCTGTGTGCTATATGTAAATAATGCTATTAGAAAATGCTCTGGCAGACTGCCAGGCCTCACTCTAACTGAAGTTTGAATGCTGAATTGGAATTTCTCCACTTCAGGCTGGGTAAGTGTTGGAGATCAAGCCTTTGCCCTAGGGCAGAATTGAAATTCTGAATTTTCCTCTTGTCCTTTGGAAACTCATAGCTAAGCGTACAGCCCACCTGTGCCCTACTTACCATTCAAATAGTTCACGCCACGGTCCATCTCTGCACACATTTTACCTTTACAGTCTGTGTATGTGTTGGAGGGGAGGGGTTGGGGATGTAACTCGGTAGTGTTTACCTAGCATGCACAAGGCCCTGGGTTCCATCCCCAGCAAAGTGTCTAGTCTTTATTTGGAAAAAAGTAAAACTAAAGCCAGGTGCAATGCTTGTAATCTCAGAATTTGGAGACTGAATCAGGAAGATTGCATTACAGAATGAAACCTTGTCTCATAAACTAAAACTAAGCTCTCCCCGTGTATCTCATTCAGCAAGTGAAAAGATCCTTCAGTATTTTCCCATCTGTATAATAAAAACCCAGATCCTACCTATCATCTGTAAGGCCTGCTAGGTAAGAGCTGTGATTATCTTGACCTCAGCTAGCTCTCATTTTTGTTTTTTAAAATTATTTTTGAGGCAGCGTCTCACTAACCCTGGCTGGCCTGGAACTCACAGAGATCTGCCTGCCTCTGCTTCCCAAATACTGGGATTAAAGACACCATCATGCCATGTTTTCTTTGTTTTTGAGACAGGGTCTCATGTAGTCCAGGTACCTCAAATCCCTGATCCTCCTGCTCTGCCCCGAGTGTGCCGCCAAGCTGGGCTTTCTTACATTTTCTTAAACGTGGCCTGTTGTCTTCCACTCAACATTTGCGTGTACTGTGTGGCACCCCCCCCACTCCACTTACTGGGTCAATCCAATTCACTCTTTATTCCACAAGCCTTCAGTGAGTGGTACATGGGTTCAAGTGCCAACTTTTTTGATTCTAGTGCATGAACTTAGGCAGGTGCTCAACCTTTCTGTGTGTTTTTAGTTACCTATAAAATTATCAACAGTGGGGTTGCTATAAAGTAATGAATGTAAGGAGTATGGGTTAGTACTATGCCTATAATGCTCAGAGTTCTGTTTCTCAAAATTTGTACCTTGCAATTCTCATCCCTAGTGCCCCAGAGTGCGATTGTAAAGTGAAAACAAGGTCTGGGGGTTCCAAGCCAGGTATGGAAGCTGGTACTTGGGAGGTGGAAGAAAGAGGATCCAGAGGGAAAGGTCATCCTTGGCTGGGTGTGTGTTAGGGATGGGGTCTGGGTTGGGGGAGGACAACTTGTAGGAGTGTTCTCTCCTTCTATGTGGGTCCTGGAGGTCAAACTCAGGTCAGACTTGGCTAGAAGTGCCTTCACCCACTGAGCCATCTCATTGGTCCAAATGATTTAATCTACTTATTACTGCTGTGTAGATGAAAGCTGAGGTTCAAAGAGATGAAATACTTGGACCGATTGTATTAGTTACTGCTCTGTCTCTGTGACAAACACCACAACCAAATCAACTTGGGAGGGAAGTTATGTTATCTTCCTTTCACAGTCCATCCCTGAGGGAAGCCAAGGCAGGAGTTTAAAGCAGAAAGCTGGAGGGATGCTGTCAGCTGGTGAGCTTCCTCCTGGCCTGCTCAGCTACCTTTTATTTTATTTAAAGATTTGTCTTGTTTTGCTGGACAAGGTGGTGCACGCCTTTAATCTCAGCACTTGGGAGGCAGAGGCAGACGGATCTCTGTGAAATTGAGGCCAGCCTGGTCTATATAGTAAGTTTCCAGGCTAGCTGGGGCTGTAGAAACTCTGTCTCTCTGTCTCTTTCTGTCTCTGTCTCTCTCTGTCTCTGTCTCTGTCTCTCTCTCACACACACAAAGATTTGTCTGTTTTTATTTTATATGTATGAGTGTTTTGTCTGCATGTTTGTATGTGCACCACAAACATGTCTAGTGCCTGTGGAAGCCAGAAGAAGGCACTGGACCACCTGGAACTGGAGTTACAGTTTTGAGCTGCTACGTGGGTGCTGGGAACTGAATCTAGGTCCTCTGCAAGAGCAACAAGTGCTCTTAACTGCTGCTGAGCCATCTCCCAGCCCCCCATACGCCTTTTTTATACAGTTCAGGTCCACATTGGGCCAGGCCCTCCTTAGAGGGCCTGGAGATGTGGTGTACTGCACTGCTTCACTTGTCAGCTTGACACACCCCAGGAGGAACCTCAGTTGGGAGTTTCCTCTATTGGATTGTCCTGTGGGCAAGTCTGTCTGGGAGGCATTTTCTTGATTGTTGAGTCCTGTGGGAGGGCCCAGCACCCTGTGGGTGATGCCACTCCTGGGTAGGTGGTCCTGGGTTATATAAGAAAGTAGGCTGAGCACAGGCCAGAGGAGCAAGCCAGTAAGCAGTGTTCCTCCACGGTCTCTTCAGTTCTTATACCAGGTTCCTGCCTTGAGTTCCTGTCCTGGCTTCCCTCAGTGATGAGTTGTGATCTGACCTGGGAGTTGTAAGATGAAATAAACCCTTTCCTCCCCAAGTTAGTTTTGGTCAATGTCCGATCCCCTGGATCTGGAGTTATGGATGGTTTTGTAGCCGCCATGTGGGTGCTGGGAATCAAACCCAGGTCCTCTGCGAGAGCAGCCAGTGCTCTTAACCACTGAGTCATCTCTCCAGCCCAGCTCCTACCATATGTTAATTGATAACCCATTTGAGCTGCTGTAAATATGTACTCAAGAAAATAAAATAGCTACAGTAGCTACTGAGAACAATGGTAAAGTAGGACACACACACACACACACACACACACACACACACAAATATTAATGCTATAGCTAATGTCTAGTGAAATCACCAAACATAAATGCTGCTGCTGCTGCTACTGCTGAGGTAAGAAATAAGAGAAAGTTTCCATTCTTACAAAGAAAACAATGTATTCAGCAAATATTTCTGGGGAAAATGCTGTGTGCTCAGCCTGAAAGACAATTCAAAGACAGGAAAGACCCAGCTCTGCCTAATCAAGCTTTAATTCTTACATGAACACAAGTAACAGTGAAGTGGAATGCATTAGCTGCAGGGAGCAGCGTTGCACATAGAAGTCCAGATCCTTGCTTAAAACTTCGTCCTTCATCGGAAATTCAGATTTAATTTGGTCTCCTGAATTTTTTTTTGTTGTTGTTTTTTTGAGACAGGGTCTCCTTGTAACCCCAGCTTCCTGGAACTCACTATGTAGACCAGGCTGGCCTTGAACTCACAGAGCTCCTCATGCCTCTGCCTCCCCAGTGCTGGGATTAAAGACGTGTGCCACCATGCCCGGCTGGTCTCCTGAATTAA